TTTCATATATAAGGAATAAGAATATATTGATCTTATACTTACTTTCGTACAAGTTCTAGTAGAACTGAACTGCTTGCTTTGGATTTTTGTTGGTGATCTCAAAGTTTGGCTTTGACCAAACTTTTTTCCTTCAGTAAGTTTCGAAATATCCGAGCCAATTTGTTCAATGGGATCTTTGATCACTGGAGGAGTGGCCAGAGAGACTCCAAACAACCTAAAATTAGTGCCTGCCTTGGTTGTTATATTTTCTTCTATTTGTGTAACCATTTGGTTATTGTAATTTCGTTTGGGCATTGGTTGGACAGGGTAGCTCATTAGCAATCTAGAAGGATTCATAGCATCTTCAGTTGTTTCACGATAAAGAAGAGAAATATTCATCAGGGAGGCCACGCTTAGTTGTCCAATTTCTTGTCCTTGTGTCAATATAGGAGGCAAGAGATGTGATGATGAAGAACCTTTATATAAAACAAGAATATTGAGAAGGTATTCAAGAATCTCAAATTCATTAAATAGAAGATTAATTCTTTAAATAAAAGATTATGAGAGTGTATTTTTATACCGAATTCATTAACTTCTCGTAAACGCTTGTTCTTGAGAAAAGATGATCGCGGAACATTTAACGCAGGCATTAAATGTTCGATCTCCCAGGGTGACACTTTATTAGGTCTCAAAAATGATGCAAATTCATCCCACTGCACCTGCAAAATTAAAGTTAATTAGTGATATGTTATTTATTGCACTCAAAAACGTATTCCTAAAAGAATGTTATAAAGTGTGAATGAAAATTTACTTCTAAGCTGCGCCAGTCTGAACACTTCCAATGAGGAGAGAAATTACTAACTCCAATAATTGTCCCAAAATATCTTAATTAATTGAACAAAATGTGTTATCATAGATAATATTAGACATTATAAATATATTTATGCAGAAATTCTTTTTCATCTAATGTTACCTTCTTTCATATAAATCATCACCCTCAAACCGCATTGTAAATCTTGAACCGACATTGAACTTATTGTTCACAGCGTCTAAGAATTTGTCGTAACTGACAATAAATTGACTTGACCTGATACTTATAAAAACACAAAATATAAACCTATATGTTGAAGGAACTAATCTATTGATAAATCAATATAATCTAAAATGTGAGTTCAAATGGTTCTTTGAATTACCTTGCCTTGTAAACCACAATGAACATACATTGGTTATCAAAAGCATGCTTTGCGGAAGCAATTACCCCATGTCTCATACAATCTATTGATACTATTGATGAAGGTATATTCCCTTGTTGATGTCTTGCTCGTCTGATACCAACTCGTAACTCTCCAGTCTCTCCCCTAAAACCACAAGTAAATAGTTTAAAGTCCAAAACTCAAGAACCAAAAAATATATAACAAGAACCAATATTATACCTAACGAATACAATAACATCTCCTTTAACCAATTTTTTTGATGTTGTAAATTCATTCCAACCAGTTGTTAATAAATGTCTTTGCGGTGTACCTGCATGGAATAAGAAGATTATTAGTTACTTCTCTAGGATTTATTACCTCAATAGCTGTGGTTGAATTATTTGAATAAAATGAATTATTACCTCTATAGCTGTGTCTGAATCTCCATTGATTACCATGGAGATCTATAGCAAGAAGTTCTTGTGCCGGTAGAGGCTGAGACATATCCTAAACCAAAATTTAATATGTTATGTCTAATGAAAGCTTAAAATTCAAATTCGTTTAAAAAGCTATAACATTAAATACCAGAGGAGGGAGACATTCAATGGCATGTTTTTTCGGAACAGAAAATACACCATTAGCACTTATATCAGAGGCAGTTAAAACCTTTGTAAAGGAATTAACTAATGGCCTAAATTGATTTTCATTCTGAGTAGGGATTACAACTTGCTAAACATTCAACAAAATCAGAAAATCAATGAGATATAATTGGAGAAAAATACAATTAACTGAAAATAAAAGAGAAATACTAAATTTTCACTTACAGTTATATCTGGCATCAAAGTGATCTTAGCATAAGTCTCATCACTATTGTTTTCCACCTAAAATCAAACATCAAAAAATTAACTAATTACTTCTTTTTACAATGAAATCAAATATAGATATCATGCGTATTCGCTAAAACACAATAGAGATATACCTTAAGATGAATTGCAATAACACGACATTGAAGCTTAGAAGGAAGATCACAAATTGGTTGTAACTCATTCAACTCTTCTCTTGTAGATGCCTCAACCTGAAAAAGCCGTCAAAAGGTTTCATAGACGAGAGAGAGAGAGAGAGAAGAGAGAGAGAGAGAAGAAAGGGAGAGAGAAAGAAGAGAGAGAAGAGAGAAAGAGAAGAGAGGGAGAGAGAGAGAGGAGAGAGAGAGAGGAGAGAGAGGAGAGAGAGAGAGAGAGAACTCACAAGCTCTATATTGCCTTGAGGAAAGTAATAAACCTTTTCTCCAAATTTTGGAATATCACACAAAGGTCCCGCACAGAGTTTCCATAACTGCTCGTACATATAGCTCTTGGATCTATCAACTGCCGAACAAAAACCAAAACATTATAACCAAAACAAGTGTTCAATAAGATAAAATAAAAAAGTCAAAATTTCTTACTTATGCCTGATAATTCAGGTTGTGCATTCACAACGTTGCCAGTTTCCATAACCTCTTATCCAAAGATCGGTATACCAAAATATGTTATCTCAACAATTATTATACAATTTTCTCCCTTTCCTCAACTTCTCTCGCGACCATGAGAACGCAAAATATCACATTTATAGGTAAGAAGTATCAAAATACATTAAAATACTTCCTTAGATTTGATATTAAATTTAATAAGGTTACCAAAAATTTATAAAGGTAATTTAGAGAAATGTCATTAATATTTTGACTACACATAAGAAAATCAATTTTCTTATATGTTTATTGATTAACTTACCAAAATCATCATATGCATTATTCATATATAAGTTGAGTAATATAATACAGTTTTAATACTTACAATGAAAAAAAAATCTTTGAATTTTGTTTATAGATAGCCATATAAATTTAAATAGGAGTTCTTGCTAGCTTTTTCTTTTCAACATATGCATTATTCATATATAAGTTGAGTAATATAGGAAAATTTTAGTACTTACAACAAAACATTTTTTTCAATGAAATTTGTTTAAAAGTAGCCATATAAATTTTAAATATGAGTTTTTGCTTGATTCTGATTGCATGAATAAGAATTCCTCAGCACCGTGATCAGATCTATCATATAGGATCTATGGTACATCTCATGTTAGCTTTTTTATTTTGCTTCCTCTTTAAGTTTTTAAGGATCCCTTATAAACCGGTTTTCTCATATATTGTCGCTCTTTGGAGAAATCTCCAAGGACATATTCCCTTTTTCATTTAGCTTCCCCTTTCCAATTAGCTATGATGTGAATTTGTATGTATCCCATGACTATTAGGATGTCTTTGGCATCAGGGGTGGATCACCGGTGGTGGTGATGGTATGATGAATTCAATCAAAAATGTACAAGGGCTTCTCGCTGCCTCTCAATCCGAATGTCATTTAAGTATTTTTGCTCCATGTTTTATATTGATGATTATAATAGTTATAAATTATTATTAATGATAATTATTTAGCTTATAGATTTTTTTTATCATCTATAAAGAAATTATTAATTGAATAAACTTATTAAATTCATTAATTCAATAATTTAAATGACGAATCGTTTTATCTAAACCATTTGCTAAATGAATTAGATTGACTCATTATCCATTAGAAACTAAATTTCTATGGATATAGATTGGTTTGATTTGGTTTAACCAACTTGTCATCCGTAAATATAACACCCACAAAAAAAAACTTATAACACATTAGTCAAACAACATAAAAATAATACGATATTTATTTGTATAGATTTGTCTGATCCGATAAGTTTACCTTACTTAATATAAATTAATATCTATATTTAGAAATTACAATTAATATGATATATCTTCACTTAATCTTTAAAAAATAATATTACATTTAAAAAACATTACATTTTAAAGAAAAATATAGTCTCACGATGTACCGCAGGTTAAATTTTAGTTGATTATACAAAATACCATGCCAAAAATATATTAATTCTTTAGAGATATTAATTCTTTAGCATGTCTCCACACGGCATCAGCAAAGGGACAATTAAATAGAATATAATTCACCGTTTCGTATGCTAGACATATGAGTGTTAAAATGGGTCAAAATTCATGGGTCAACTCAACTCAACCCATGAACCCTAATGAGTTGAAAATTTTGACTTAAATGAGTTGATGGGTCAAATGAGTTATTGGGTCAATTGGTTTGATGAGTAAAATGAGTTGGGTTGTAATGGTTAATGGTTTCAATGGTTTACCCAATTAACCCATCAAGTTTTGTAAAATTGAATTAAACCAACACATCTAAACCAATTTAATAAAATCAATATTTTTCCAAATTTCTTAAATATACAAGCGATGAAATTGAGAAAAAGTAAACCCGTGATTTTCCCGCCAAAAACGTAAATCCGTGATTTTCAAACCAAAAACGAAAACTCGTGATTTTCCCAACAAAAAACATAAACTCGTGATTTTCCCGCCAAAAACGAAAACCCGTGATTTTCCCGCCAAAAACGTAAAGTGGTAATTTTCCCGCCAAAAACGTAAACCCGTGATTTTCCCGCCAAAAAACGTAAACCCATGATTTTCCCGCCAAAAACGTAAATCCGTGATTTTCTCGTCAAAAACGTAAACCCGTGATTTTCCCGCCAAAAACGTAAACTTGTAATTTTCCCGCTAAAAACGTAAATCCATATTTTCCCGCCAAAAACGTAAACCCGTAATTTTCTCGCCGAAAACGTAAACCCGTAAAAAGTGGAATCCGTAAATATCCTAAGTTTGATGATAATGAATTAATAATTATTAATAATGATAATTAATTATTATTATTTTATAATAATAATTAATTAAATTATTACTTAAATTATTACTTAACCCATTTAACAACTCAACCCATCAAATTAAATGAGTTATGGGTTGACCCAACCCATTTAACAAAATGAGTTGGGTCAACCCATAAGTCATTTAACAAAATGAGTTGGGTCAACCCATAACTCATTTAACCCTAAACTCATTTGATTATAAGTTGAGTTGAGTTGGTTTACCCATTTTGACACCCCTAACTAGACAACCCTTTTGACAATTTATGTGAAAATTATTCCAAACTTTTTTATGCAGCAGATTATTGTAAAAATTTATAAAAAGCACATTAATTAAATAAATAAAAAATGGCAAACGATCAAGACATTATTTTTCTAATGCTATTTTATCATCTTCGATGTATTTTAATGAATTTTTATTTTAAGACTATGCAATACGGTCCAAGTTAATCATTAAAGTTAGACTAAGAAAATTTTTCTATAAATAATTTTGGATTTTTAACCGTTATGAAATACTAAATTCAACAAAATCACCAATATAAAAAAAGGGATTTACAAAAATGGCATTAAAAAGTTTTTTTTTCAAGAATAGCATCTCTTTTGAAAAATTCCACAAATAGCACTCAAAACTTTAATTAGATATTAAATATAAATAAATAGTTTAATTAAATAAATAAATCAAAGTAAATATTTTCCGCCAATTTTTTTTGTCAAAATTTTTCCGCCAAGAAATTTCCGTACCAATTTTTTCCGCCAAAAAAAATTCCATAAAAATTTTCTCGCCAAAACTTTTTCTGCCAAATTTTTCCCGTCAAAAAAATTTCCGTAAAATATTCCCGCAAAAAAAATTCAAGAAGGTAACTACCAAATTCCGGAAGGATGTCATATAATTCAGGAAGGCTTTCATAAATAAAAATTTCATTCAAACCTTCCTGAATTTTGTATAATCCTTCCTACATTTCAGAAAATGATTATTTAAATTTTGAAGGATTCCACAAAATTCAGGAATGATTCTACAAAATTCAGGAATGATTTCATGAAATTTAGGAAGGGTTTCACAAAATATTTTTTCTAAATTTCGTGAAACCCTTCCTGAATTGCTTAGAATCCTTCTTAAATTTTGTAACATCCGTCTTGAATTTATTTTATTTTTGGCGGGAAAACTTGGGCGTAATTATTTTTGGCAGAAAAATTTTGACGGTTTTTTTATGCTGGATTCTTTTTTGGCGGAATTTTTTTTTGGTGAGAAAATATTGTTGAGAATTTTTTGGTAATAATTTTTTTATGTATTTTTATTTTTTTTAATTATTAATTTTAATAATTAAATATAAAATAATTATTTGAGTGCTATTTATATCTTAAAATTTGTTTTATGCTATTTTTGCCTAAAACTTAAATATGTGCTATTTAAAGAAATTTCTCTATAAAAAACCATTCGTTGATTTAATATATCCAATAAATAAATATTATTAGCTATCTAATGTTCAATGAAATTTAGAGATTTAATTTTGAAATGTTCCCATAAATATATATTTGCCTATTTAATATAGAGAATTTTCTCCACCTTTTTTTTTTAACTTTCAATTTTCTTCCAAAATTTGCCCGCCATTCTCTGTGTCTCTTCGTCTAAGGGTTTCTTCCAAAGAACGACGACAAAACCACTGAACCTAAAATCCGAAATCCAAAAGATTCATGCGAAAAAATCGTAAAAGAGTACCAATTTCAGAAAGTTACATTCTTACAGAGAACAAGTAATTCCCCAGAAATGGGATCTAGGGTTCCAATAGAAACCATCGAAGAAGACGGCGTAAGTTCAAATCTCTTTCTGCGTTATTGAATCAATTTTTTTGATTATTCAACTTCTGGGTTTTTCTCCTACAGGAATTCGATTGGGAAGCAGCAGTCAAAGAAATCGACTTGGCTTGTCTTAAAACCACAAACGCTTCTTCTTCTTCGTCATCCCATTTCACTCCTTTGGCTAATCCACCAATTACGGCAAATCTCACTAAGCCACCTGCGAAGAGACAACCTACTCTCGATAAATTCATCGGCAGAACCGAACATAAACCGGAGAATCATCAAGTTGTTTCCGAGTGTGGTGTTAACGATAACGATAATAGTCCTTTAGTTGGGATTGATCCTGAGGCAGCTAAAACTTGGATTTATCCAGGTTTGTTGAGATTGTTAACTTTATGATAAAACTTTTGTAAGTGGTGACGAATAATGTTGTTTTGTGGTGTTTTAGTGAATGGGAGTGTTCCTTTAAGAGATTATCAGTTTGCTATAACGAAGACTGCTTTGTTTTCGAATACATTGGTGGCTTTGCCTACGGGACTTGGTAAAACGCTTATAGCTGCGGTTGTTATGTATAATTACTTCAGATGGTTTCCACAAGGTAGAAGAATCTTCATCAAGTAGCTATGGAAATATCTTGCTTAATGGTTTAGGAATGTAACTGAAAAGCTGTCATTGTTGTTGTTAGGTAAAATAGTATTTGCGGCGCCTTCTAGGCCTCTTGTGATGCAGCAGATTGAGGCGTGTCATAATATTGTTGGAATACCACAAGTATGTGATTTCTCTTTAAACAGATTCTTGACTTGTTGTGTTTGACTCTTTAGATATTGAGAATTTGTTTTGCTTTGGACTGTAGGAATGGACGATTGACTTGACGGGTCAGACATGTCCTTCGAAAAGAGCTTTTTTGTGGAAAAGCAAACGGGTTTTCTTTGTCACTCCACAAGTGTTAGAGAAGGATATACAGTCAGGTGATGCTCGGGTTATTCTATCAACATTCTGAGCTGAAATCTATTAATGCTTATTTAGTTCGTTCTCAAATTACCACTTGTTCACAAAGACTGTCCCTTTTCAGGAACATGTCTTACTAACTACTTGGTTTGCTTGGTGATCGACGAGGCACATCGAGCTTTAGGGAATTATTCTTATTGTGTTGTAGTTCGTGAGGTTTGTTCTTCTTTTATGTGTTTGGACTTTTAAGTATCTTTCCTTTGCTATCTATATCTGTTTTTTTCTATCTCTTCATAAATGTAAAAATGATCAAGGTGACCAACTAATGCATTTAACTTTTAGTTGATGGCGGTACCGATACAGCTGAGAATACTGGCTCTTACTGCAACTCCTGGATGTAAGTGATTGACTTTCTTCTTCTTGGGGGTTATTATATTTCTGCACCCATTAACGGTAGATGTTACTTTCAGCAAAGACACAGGCCATCCAGGGTATCATTGATAATTTGCAGATATCCACACTTGAATATCGAAATGAGAGTGACCATGATGTTTGCCCTTATGTCCACGACAGAAAATTAGAAGTCATCGAGGTTCAAGCTGGTTTCTGCATTTTCCATTTGTGTTCCTTTCCAAATTGATGTCTAATAATTTTAGTATCTTTCTGGCAGAGCAGGTTCCCTTGGGTCAAGATGCAGATGATGTATCGAAACGCCTGTTTCATGTTATACGTCCATATGCAGTCAGGCTTAAAAACTTTGGGGTTAATCTAAATAGAGATATACAAACTGTATGTGCCTCAATGCTTATATCTTCACCAATAGCGTCAATGCTCACATTTTCTTATCTATGCAAACATCAACTCATGTTTGACAGTTAAGTCCACACGAAGTACTTATGGCAAGGGATAAGTTTCGTCAAGCACCTCTACCAGGCCTTCCCCATGTAAATCACGGAGATGTAGAATCTTGCTTTGCAGCTCTTATCACTCTTTATCATATTCGTAAGCTCCTTTCTAGTCATGGAATAAGACCAGCGTATGAGATGCTAGAAGAGAAATTGAAAGAAGGGTATGCTCTTACTTTCTTCTGTTGAACTGATTTTTGGGATGGCTTCAGTGGTTTTAGGTATAATAGCTTTTGATATCAAGAGCATCGCCTAAAACTATCACCCTTTGCAGGCCATTTGCTAGGTTGATGAGTAAGAATGAAGATATTAGGATGACGAAGCTTTTGATGCAGCAAAGGTTGTCACATGGAGCACCAAGCCCAAAATTGTCGAAGATGTTAGAAATACTAGTTGATCATTTCAGTATGTTTTCTTTTTGAATTTTGATCTGGAGTTGATGTTAGTACTCAGCTGGTTTTACAACTGAACATTGATATGATCTTATTCTATGGCTGCAGAAGTGAAAGATCCGAAGACATCACGGGTCATTATTTTCTCAAATTTCAGAGGAAGCGTAAGGTCAGTATAATTGTTGTTTGTTTTCCCTTGTTTAGTTGCTCATCATATTTCTTCGTTAGCATTCATCCGATTACGTTACTCTTCAGAGACATAATGAACGCATTAAGTAATATTGGAGATATGGTCAAAGCAACTGAGTTTATTGGTCAAAGTTCAGGTTTGTTACTCTGATTTTTTCATCTGAAATTTCCAGTTACACATAAGTATCATTTATAATTGTTACAATATATGTTTCGTGCAGGTAAGACATTGAAAGGCCAGTCGCAAAAAATTCAGCAGGCTGTTTTGGAGGTATGTCTGTTTCCCTGTATCTGATTTGAACTTTGGTTTTTTTTTTTTTTTTTACATTCTCTTGTATGATAAACTCATCTTTCCAACAGAAATTTAGAGCTGGGGGGTTCAATGTTATTGTCGCAACATCTATTGGTGAAGAAGGCTTGGATATCATGGAAGTTGACCTAGTTATATGTTTTGATGCTAATGTATCTCCTCTGAGGATGATTCAACGGATGGGAAGAACTGGAAGGAAAAATAATGGTCGAGTTGATATCCTTTAGCTAGCTTGATTTCCATTACAAATCTTTGAAGTTACACTTTTTCATTGGAACGCTATATGCGACGTCTTTGAAGTTACACTTTCCATTCCTTGACTAGCCTTTACTAGTTCTTGCTTGTGAAGGATCAGAAAAGAACAGCTATATGCGAAAGCAAGCAAGTGGACGGGCTATTAAAAAACACATGCGGAATGGAGGAACAAATAGTTTTAATTTTCATCCTAGTCCAAGGATGGTAAGAGCTTTTCTTTTTTGATAATTTGTTTTCCTTACCTTGTTGCTTCAGTTTTCAACTTCTCTTAACTTCAGATATCTCTGTCATGTGTTATTATAGATTCCCCATGTTTATAAGCCAGAAGTTCAGCATGTTGAGTTTTCAATCAAGCAATTCGTTCCACGTGGAAAGAAACTACAAGAGGAGTATGCCACTGAGACTCCAGCT